ACGAAGAGCAAAGACGACTTGGTCTACGAAAAATGTATGGCAGCCGGAAGAAGGACGTGCGAAGTCACTGTCGGGACCAGGGCAACCAACTCCCAGTCCGAGGGAAGCCCACTAAATTGTCTGAAGCCCTCGACCTCGGCTGCAGAGGCATAAGAAAAAGGATTTAGAACAGCTAACCTAGCCAAGGGGCAAGTTATCGAAACAGTATTTTGAGAGTCGAGAAGAGGAGCAATTAATGGTACAGGCACATGACTCGTTCTATACACGGGGATGCCTAAGAACGTAAGAGGTATACCTCGAGGAATCAGATTGAGACGAGGAGAGCCTCCTCGAGAGGGGCTATTCGAGATGTCGACTAGACCGCCTGCCAAAAGCGCTTGGTCGTATTCATCCCAGTCGACGATGGGAGCAGAGGGGCGAAAAGGAGAATTAGGAGGTGGAAAAACCATCTTGATGCCGGTCACTTGAACAGAATCAGAGCTTGAACACTCATCGACTTGGTGAGTATACTCGTTGATTTGACGACCAAGGGAGCCAGAGAGAGAAGACGAGTCGGAAGCTAAAGAGAAGAAAAAGAAAAAGGTTGGAAATAGCGAAGTCACGGGATAATACACTGAATACAACAAGCAGAGTCGACTTCCAAAAGTCATCGAAAGACGACTCGACTTCTGTCAATGTCAGAAGAAAACAAGGAAGCCCACAAGTCATTACTCAGTCGATTTGGCAAGAGACATACCAGCAAGTCGACATGAGTCGACTAAGAGGATAACAAAGAAGGGTTAGAAAAGGAAAAGAGAAGGTTATTAGGTCGACAGGGATACAGTTAGCAAAGGGTGAAAAAGTCGACTCCATCCCAGAAGTCGACAACCAACAGAACAAAACCCAACAAATCAAAGAAAAACACGCACAATCAAAGATCCAACACAAAATTCGAGAAAAAGAGTTTGAAGAACATGAAGAGCACGCAGGAATTTCAAAACCCAGAAAAACTGAAAAAGGAAAAATCGACAGAAAATTGAGAGATAAGAGAAAATAGTAAACTTACACATGATGGTTTAGTGGATTGGAACTCTGAAAGAGCTTGAAGTCGCCGGAAGCGGAGAACGCCAGTGAAATCAAAAACACGAAAAGCGCGGGAAAGCTCGAGGAATCTGAGAAGGCAAGAAGTCTGAGAATGCGAAAAGTGCTTCTCTGAGGGATTGAGGCATATTTATAAACAGTAGTATTGGATGTTGACCGTTAGATTAGCAAAAGATCTAAGGGTCCCGATGAAGCTCAGAATTCGAGGAGTCGGCGGTTGAGGTGACGCGCATCACTTCAGTGAATTTGAAATTTGAATTTCAAAAAGGTCTGTCAGAGTGTCAGACTTATCCAAAAAGTAATCATAAAGGATAAGAGGGTATTCTAGCAAAATGACGAGGCTTGTCATAGTCATGACGAGTAAAAGCAGACACGACGACTTAAGTCGAACAAGAGCAACACTTAACCACCAAATTTACTCTCAAGCATTCGACTGCTTAGAGTAATTTTTGGGGGGGACAAGATGATATAGCCATATAAGGATAATCCGGTCCAGAGGTTCCCTACTCGACCGGAGAATTCGTCCGAACCACTTATATGTTGACATGATGATGACGACATGCTCAAGTCGACTCTTGCGAAGTCGACTCTTCACAGGATGAGTGATGAGGATGGTGCAGGTATCATGCAAGTCGACTCGGAGAAGTCGACTTGATGATAGTCGACTACGAGGAAGCCGACATCCATCGGAGAAGACCAGCAAAGGCATAGTCTTTGAATAACCAAAAGATCCAGAAGTCAACCCGTCCATACTCGATTCGACACCTTATACCTCGAGACGTGATATACACTAACGACTCGATACACTTGTAACATACCCAATAATATGCATTCTCTATAGGATAAGAAAGAATCTTGTGATGACTCAGCAGCAAGGGGAGACGAATCAACTGGGGCAATTTAGACCTTACAGGTCAGCACCAGGGCATTCTAGGTACTTCAAGTAAGTATTCACTCCTATATAAAGAAGATGAGGTAACCCTAAAACCCTACCTCTCATTCATTCCACACTCTCCTCATAGCTGCTGCGCAACATCCCTTCATCACTCTTATACCGACTTGAGCGTCGGAGGCTCTACGCCGGAAGCACCTCCGGCGTTGAGTTCTTGCAGGTATTCTCGCGGTCTAGCAACGATTCAGAGGCAGTTCAAGCAGATCTGAGCTCAAATCCACTGGTTCTCTTCAGATCTAGAAGTAGACCCATCATATATAATTTGCATTTAATTTATAATTAGTATATATTTATTAGACATTCAATAAATTACAAACTTGGCATGAACTAAATTGAAATAAATCAAATTTCATGAAATTGCAACTAAGCCCTTGCAATTTATCTAATTTCCATAAAAATCCTACAACCCCCTCCCCAAATCCATTCCCGTACGTCCGGCGAACTAACCTTCCAACTAGGTTAGTTCTATGTAGTTGCTAGGCTAGTTCTCTATAGTTGCTAGGTTAGTTGTCTGTAGTTGCTAGGTTAGTTCTCTGTGTTGGGATCTGTGAGGATCTCGTTATGTACAAGTCACGAATTCAATAGCAAACGTAAACCTATGCGCAGCGGATCTAAAGCTTTGACGTAGAGAACTTACGGCTTAAAATTTATGTAGATCTGGTTGATCACGAACGGTTGACCGCAATTGATTGACCGTAACTCACGTCTTGGGTTGCACGAACAAGATCAGATCAAAATCGGATCAAACAGATGCAAACAGATCAAAACAAAACTTTGCAGCCTGGGAGCTTCCGACGGCACGTGAGGACGCGTGAGGTGTCAGAAGGCTGCGATCTCAGCGGTGATGGAAAGCTCTCGTCGAGACGGTCGTCTAGGTATGCTGTACGTCTCAATCAGACTTCCGGTTAGTTCTGTAGTTCAAAATATATTTCGTCTTGGTTTACCTACAGATCTTCTACTGTATTACTCCATACACCCTTCTTCAACTTGTACCAGTGGAGGAACAAGAAGAAGATAAAGCTCGAATGAGATCTAGAGAGAGAGAGGCGTGTGAGGCGTGTATCTCGTGTGAATGAGACTTCTTCTCTCTTCTCATGAGCTTAATGATGTATATATAGAGCTACAGTAGGGACCCTTAGGAGATTAGAAAAAGGACTCCTTAATTAATTAGACTAACTGTGAGCTAATCTCACTCCTCTAATTAATTAAATAATATTAATGGGCCACCAACATTATATTATTGCACTCCTTTTTCCTAGCCCAAATTACATTTGAGACTCCAATAATAATTACTCGATTTACCTCCCCACGTTTAAGATATAATGTCCATTAATTAATCCGATTACTGACAATCAACAATTAATTAATTTATTATTATTTCACTGAAGCTAGCGCTCGTCCATCACATTCTTATTATACCGGAACTTAATCCACCTACAGGGTTTAGCATAACAATCCTTCATGAACTCACCCCTGGGACATCATCAAACTAACGCACATGGTGACCGTAAATATCCTAACAGCACATCCTATATATAATAATATTACCCAAAACAGTAGGAATATTAATCCAGCGAACTGAACCTCACCCATGTGAATCAAAGTAATATATATAATATATCTGCCTATTTAATATCTTACGGGTTAAGAGAACGCAGTAATTAACCGAGACCTAGTTCATTTACGACGATCAGTATAGAATGAACTTCTCCACTCTGGGATCCTGTTCAATACATAAATGTACTAGTGCAACTAACCAGTCAAGACAAACTTTACAGTTGACACTACAACCGTTCGGATGGGGTGTTCATGTCCATCTAGGTTGTGAACAACTATTCTTGTTCGCAAGTGACTGATAGAGTGATCTTCGGTTCGCCCGATGATGACCACCCTATCTAAGTGCAGAACAACAGAACGTAGAACTTGTTTAATCTAACATGATTCTCATTTATAAAGGGTAAACATGTAATAACATGCAAAGCCAAGCTTTCAGTATATAACACTAACAATCTCCCACTTATACTTAAAGCTTTCGCTTTTACAGTATAGTCCTATCAATCCGTTATTCTAAAAGACCTATGTCGATCCTATTGCCATGCTCATGACTCCCATTCCTTCCACGTGTTGGACGAAGACCTTCCCCGGCAAACTCTTCGTGAAAGGATCAGCTAGGTTGTCCTCTGACGCAATCTAGGCAACATCAACGTCTCCTTTACCAACGATATCCCGAATCAGATGGTATTTGCGCTCTATGTGTTTGCTTGCCCTGCGGGCTCGAGGTTCTTTTGAGTTCGCTACTGCTCCACTGTTATCACAGTACACGGTGATACCACGTGACAAACTCGGTATAACCTCTAAGTCCACTAAGCAGTTCCTGAGCCAAACTGCCTCTTTCGCTGCCTCTGAGGCTGCTATATACTCGGCTTCCATGGTGGAGTCTGCCACGCATTTCTGCTTAGCACTCCTCCATGAAATGGCTCCACTTCCCAAGGTAAACACATACCTGAGGTTGACTTACTTTCATTCCTATCTGACTGGAAATCAGAATCACTGTAACCCAGAGGTAACAAGCTGCCTGCACGATAAACTAACATGTACTCCTTAGTCATTCTCAGGTACTTGAGTATATGCTTCACCGCAGACCAATGTTCCCGTCCCGAATTACTTTGATATCTAGCTACCATGCCAATGGTGTAGCTAATATCTGGCCTAGTGCACAACATTGCATACATGAGACTTCCTACTGCCGAAGCATAAGGAACTGTCTTCATCTTCTCTATCTCCTTAGATGTCTTAGGAGACATCTCCTTAGATAAAGGTAATCCATGTCTGAAACGTAACATACCTTTCTTGGCACTCACAAGCTTCCAGTAGAAGAATACAGCTCCCAACAGGAGAATAAACACTATACTCAACACACAAAACACGCAAAAACATTATGAACAAAACAATAAATACTAGAATAAACCCTCCCCGCCAGCAAATCGGCAACCCCAGGCCCTAAGGCAGCAGCACCGAACACGTAACAAGAAACTCCAGACCGAAGTCAGCTAACCAGTACCCGCTAGAAAACTACATACCCTTCCAAAAACAATTGCTGTTAGAAAACTCGGGCTTCTCACCACAAGCCACACACGCATCGATGACCGCCGCCCCTCCCCATCCGAGACCAAGGCAGCCCCAATAGATGGAGCCCATCGATCCCAACACCAGAAATCGGTTGGACCCAAGAGTGAGCTTGCTATGAGACTCCGGCCCCAAACAACTGCTAAGGCAGAGCTTGGAATAGACGGCAAGGAGAAGCCCGCGACTAGCCAAAAAGGCCTCCCCCAGCCATGGCCACCACGAAGATGGAGAGGCGCCACACCCGAAGATGGCCCGCCAAGAAGCCAACCCTCCACCACCGACCCGAATCAAGTTGAAATTGTCGAGAGGACGCTGGCAGGAGGGCCCTGCAAAGGAGAAATTGCGCCGACCAAGTGAAGGAGAAAAAGGGATTGGGGAGGTTTCACGAGAGAGGTTTTTACCATCAATGTTAGATCAATCATGCTTCGTAATTTAATTTGGATAAAAAATATTGTTATTCTAAATCAATAAATTTAGGTTCGAACATTCCATATATATTAAAAAGCTAACTTAGGTAATTTCATAACCCTTGGACTAATATAACCCTTTAATTGTTTTGTAATCTTACTTAGTGCTATTGAGTGACTAATATAGACTTGAATTTTGTTTTGCGTCCTGTCAACTGTCCAGTATCTATTCTCCAATTGAATGATACAGAAAAAAGAACGCACAACCTCTGCGGCTCCGCCGGTCGTCCAAAGAAACCATTGCCTCTACTCTTCATCACTCTCTACGCCGAAATCATTCTCCAACCGTCGGCGCTTCCTCTTTCTCTTCCCGTTAATTCCACCTGCATCTACTCTTCCGAAGCTTCATCCCGCAGCCAAAAAAGCCCCAAATATAGGTAATCTATCGAGTCCTGAACTTTGTCGAGTACATGTATCTTTTCTTTTTTGGTAATTGGGCGATAGAACGAATTTGTTCGACAATTTTTTTTGATGACCTGTATCTTTTTTTTGTTAATTGGGTGATAGAGCGAATTTGTACTTTTTGCTCTATTTTTGAAAAAACATGATTTAGCCGTAATCTGTTCTTTTGGATTACATGTTAATTAGGTGATATAATGAATCTGTTAATTGAGTGAGATAACGAAGCATGATTTTTCGATTACATGTATGATGATAATTTCTGAATAATAATGATTTTAAGGGGGGTGTATTCAATTAAGACTTTTAGTGACTTTTTAAGACTTTTTAAAGTAGATGACTTTTGTGGACTTTATGCAACTTTTATTGACTTTGTTGGATTTTGTGGGATTGTTATGAAGACTTTTTAAGACTTCCAATATGAACTTTTTGGGACTTTTTAAGAGTTTTATATAATTCTTAATATAATAATATATTTGTATGAAATGCTCATACAAAAATATTAAGCACTATCCTGAGCAAGAATAAGATAAGAGAAAAACAAATATTATAACAAATGAAATCGATAAGAAAACAAGCATGAAAAACATTCAATAATCGAACCAAACGAGCACAATAGTTATCTAATTGACATTGTACGGGAATTAAAAAAATTATAACATTAATTTAAAATGTGTTATGATATTAAGTACTATCCAGAGCAAGAATGAAGATAAGAGGAAAAAAATATTATAAGAAATGAAATCGATAAGAAAACAAGCATGAAAAACATTTAACAATCGAACCAAAAGAGCACAATAGTTATCTTATTGACCTTGTACAGGAATTAGAAAAATAAAAAAGAGCAAAAATAAAATGAACAATACAACAAATATTTCCAACATCATTCCACATGTTCGTTGCCAACTCAATCTCCACGCATTTGCAGCTTCTCTTTCATGTTCTTGACTCTCAAAATATGGTCTAGAATTTTTCGCTTCATCTTCTGTTGAAACTCCTTCTTCAATATCAACTGGAAATTCGTCAGACCGACACTCTTTGTGCAGAAAATTATGTAATCCTGCGCAACCTAAGACTAGCTCTTCTTGTGTACGATATGGAAAAGGAGGGGCTGCTTTGAAAATCGTGAAACGAGATTTAAATATGCCAAATATTCGATCCACCACATTTCTCAAAGAAGCGTGACAAAGATTAATTCAATCCTTTCCATTTTCAATATGACGCCCTTGACCAGAAAAATCTTGAAGGTGATATCTAGTACCTCGAAAAAGAGCCAAAAATTGACATCGATTTGGAAATCCATAATCCACGAGAAACCATTTACCTGGATATAAAATTATTAATTGTCAACTCATAAGTCATATAAGGAAAAATGTATATACATATGAAAGAAAATAAACTAATTTGTAATATGTTCACTAAAAATTTGTGCATATGTGATTAAGCTTTTTTTTTTTTTATATCATACATTGAGGTACTTTGAGTCCATTTTTCCTAGTTAAAGCATCGCTGAGTATTTTGAAATCATGTGCTGAACCTTCCCAACAGCTTAGTACATAAATGAATTTTACATCAAAGTTGCAAGCAGCCAAAACATTTTGTGAAATAAACCCGTAGCGATTTCTATGACTTGGGGCATTTTTTTCAGTCACTATTACCGGAATATGAGTTCCATCGATAGCTCCAATTGCATCCTGAATAACCAAAAGTTTAGTAAATAGTGATAAAAATAACAATGATAAAATCACTATGTAACAATAATACAAACACCAAATTTAATTAGAAAATAATACCACTTACCTTGAAATAAGAATAAAACCTTGTGCTCTCTCTTATTTTTTTTTATTTTTTTGGGACTTTAGATCCTGGCTTGACCATCATATCAACGACAAGCCTTTTTAATATTTTTAGAACCTTGTTGAAATTTTGGCTTGTTGAATAAGGCCGGCCATATATTTACGAATCACACAATAACGACTATTTTGACCAACGATGAGCAAGAACATTGCAAGCATTTCCTCGATGCAGACGTACCTTGTATCTTGTCGTAAATTTTTTTCTCTTATGATGTAAGATAGTTTTAGAAACACTTGAGGATACATCCTATAAATTTCTCGAAAGTTATCTGGGTCCTCTCTTAAAATTTTATTTATATAATCATGCCCATGACTTGTTACCGGTCGCCTTGCCAATGAGCGATTTGCCTCTTGAAGAGAGGAACTAGTTATATGCTCGTTCAACAAGCAGAGAATTGCTTGAATTGCCAAGCACAACAGCCTATTAGCTTCATGTAAAGTCTCTTCATAGTCATTTTCCTCATTCTCTTCCATGATGGTGACATTGTCTCCATGCATCATGTTATCAGACATTATGTGAATACAAGTACCTAAAAAAGAAAGAGCGAAAAAAAAAAGAAAAAAAGAATACATCATCATCAATGGTATGAAAGGCTTATCAAGTAACAATAATATTAGTTTCAAAACATAATCGACATAATAAATAAATAAATAACCATTGGATTGGTTAATGTCCCAAACAAGGTTCATGCATATATCCTTAAGGGAAAATAACTAATGCTATGTCAAAAAATCAAAGTTAAAAACATGAACCACTTATTATGTCACATGGAGCTAGACCAGATCATTTTAATGTATATGCAATCCATCTCAAACGTTCTTCCGGTACCATAAAACTCTGCTTTCTTTGCTCTAGTATTAAGCAAGTCAAGGACCTTGAAGCGTGAATCGTCGTCTAAGTTTAAATCTCCTTTATAATGCCCCAACAGTTATACTCTTTAGTGTCGACATACTCAAGAGCACGGACAATCTTGTTAACACTTTCTGTGAGGTTGTCAGGGTCAGATGCAGTGCTTTTGGGGTTTGCTTCAAAATTAGTTCTGTTTCACTTTCAAACGGATGGACGTTTTTCTGAACTTTGGTGTTGAGCGAATGGTGGAGAGTGCACTTGAGATAATGGCATATGGTCGAGAGGGCTATTACTGTCAACGAACACCTCAGAATCTGGATCAAGCATCAGGTCGTCTATGGAATTAATATTTTCCATTCTTTCTTCCGCCTCAAAAGTCGTTTCTTCAACATCATCGCCTATTGCAACTGAGCATTTGCCAATAGCAGTTCCACATCCAACATCGATTCTTAGATCTTCTCAGTCAGAAAAAGTGTCTATCTTCTAACTCGTATCCTCGGGATGAGACTAGTAAAAGAAAAAAAAAGGTCATTTAAGCACTATGGTATGAAATATTTTAATCATATCAAGTACTATCAATAAATCATTCTTACCGTAAAGTAGTCCTCCAACACATAGCCCGAGTTATGTCGTATAAGCTTGGCATATTTATCGTATTGTTTCGTAAACCATTTTACACGACTTTTATATTGAGCATGTCTTCTCAATTCCAAGCTTTGCATTAAGAGGGGGCAATATAAGTTTCTCTATGGTTACTTTACTCAAATTTCCAGACTTATCATGCCATCCGCGATTGGCTGCATCAACTATGAGTCTAAGCAACTCATTACTCTCTTCAGATGTCTATATTTCGTATCTCTGGACTTTTTCATTTCCTTGTGATGAATCTACCATTGCTACAAACACCTAAATTTATAAACACTTGAACCAAATAATACTTCGATCATGTCGTGTGACTAATAATTTTCAAATGCGCATGCCATATATATACATAATGATAACCCCAAGCTGACAAAATTTCAATCAGACAACTAAAATATATATCGATTTGACCACTCTAAATCCTGGAAAGAGAAAGATTTGGTAAACTACAAACTGCAATCTCATTAGTAAATAATTTGGGACTCTATCTCTGTAAATAAACTGCATCTCGTTATTAAGTGCATAAAGCAAAGGCAGCATTTTTATGATTTATTATGCATGCTAATGTACATAACAGGAACTTCACCATTAGCCACTTAAAAATATTTGTTATGATATAACTTGAGCAGCATAAAAGGTTTTTATGCTCAGCCAAAAAACACATCAAGAGTTACATGACTTAATTTCAATAGAAAAAAGAAAAAAAGCTTTCAAATTCAAATGTGTGAAACTTACAAAAACAGAAAACAATAAAATACTGACTACAAAGATTAGTTATAAACCCAATAATTTTCTTTCAAATGGTATCCAAAAGCTCTTTTCTTCCTTTAACAAAATCATGAGTTCAGTTTTAAACATTAATAAAATTTCATGTATTAAACCCTCAATGATACTAGAATAACCCTCAATAATACTAGAATATACGTACATGGTTTATATATGCTCGTTCAAAACAAACTATGAATAAACAAACAAAAATGTACTCATCATAACTAATAACTGAATGCATAAAAATGTTAATCAAAGTCCAATAACGAGCTTCAACCCAATTCAAGAATATTGTA